TGACACGATAAAAACATTGATCTAATTCGTATTTATTCATTAGAATATTTAACAAAATAAAAAATACCTAAATTTATGAAGCTTATTACCATCCAGAGGAGTGATAATGATGATTATCAACGAAGCACGGCTGAAAATGATTATCACGAAAATATAATAAAAATTACGAAATATAATTATCACAAAATTCCAATTCACGGAAATTTATACAGATTGTGTTCATGGACTGAAACAAACGCCCTAGAATATTACATATTAAGAAAACGAAAATATCTTGCCGTTTTAAATAGGTACATACGGTCTCCGTATTTCGTAACTTATCGTTATATCATAGATGGCGCTGTAGTAAAACGATGGTAATCTTTTACTCTCAACAGTGATATTGTAGCGATTTCAACAGTTCTTTAGATATCGCAAACAATAACAAAACTATAACAATAAAATTGGTAACAGAAGCAGTACCTACTGGCATTTTTTCTTCTAATTCATTGAGTAAAATATGAAAAAAAAAAAAATTACTTAACGAAGAGGTTAAAAGCATTTGGTTTAGTTTACTTTGTAAACAACTCTGTATAACGTATGTTCTACGAAAAGTGGCACTCCTTAACATAACATATGAATCATAAAACATATAGAGATAAAAAAAGTATGTAAACAAACTTGGTGTATAAAATATTATGCAATGTTTCCTCCATCGCAGTCTGTTATTGACCATTTAAAAGGACACATCAGAGTTGTTTTTTGAGAAATTCTATTGCAAGGTAAGCTAGCTTTGAATAGATACTAATTAAATTACATTTTAATTCAAATAGGTCTTTACTTATCATGTAAGAGTAAATATTGAAAAGTAACGAATAAAATAAGTAAATATTAATGTAAATTTGTTTAAAGATTGTAGAAATTATCGAATATTGAGTGATATCCATAAATTTCTCGGTCAATATGTTTATTTATAGGATCGAGCATTTACTTCTAATGACTTAATTGCATTCCAATTGTTAATATTTTTTTAATAAACTTACGAACGTACAAAAATTACAATCTATCCTCTTTATAATATTAGTAAATTATATATATTAAAGAACACATCATATTTAATACATTTTCTGTAGTATTCCATTCTGAAATATATGACAATTACAGTGAACATACAATTTACAAAAATTATTATTAACTATTCAACAATTCTTAATCACGTAATTCGGGTAAGGTGCTTAGTATCACTTATATAATATTGATCAGCCCATTATCGAATATATAAAGGTCTAAATAAGTATCTTTAATTCTGTTTTCAAGCAAGAATTCGAATGAGAGGCGCCTGTACTTCTAGATTGGTTTTTATAGAAAAAAATTGGATGATTCTGTTGATACTGTTCCGTAGAATACATAATCAGTTATGCAGTACCGTATATTTCCATTCAAATCTATGATTTTAGTACATAAAACATTAAAAAATAATGTGCATTATACACTAAATTAATAATTCGATAAAAACTAATCAAATTCATTTAATTGAGCAATTTTGCTTTGTAATCTTTTTAATGTAAACACTGAGGCCTTGTACCACATTCATACGTTTTAACAAAGTAACGTTTTATTTAAATATCTATTAAAGTAATATTATATATCTAAAACAATACTATAAACTAATATTAATATATAACAATTGTATGTAATTGAATCTTGATAGGCTAACACTAATGAACCGATTTATAAAACTTTTTGCCAATATGAAGTTACATCTTTAAGTATTCACAAGAGCCCCATACCTAGTGGCTTAAGCTTGTGACCCTCAACCCGTAGGTCGTGCATTTGAATCACTGCTATGAACAAATAGATTTGTCTTGCATCGTGAGAAAACCGGTGTATCTCAAACACAAAAATCAATGACATATGTCAGACACAAAAGGCTGATCACCTACTTATCTATAACATAAAAGTTATCGAAAAAACGGATGTTATTATTACAATATATTATTATTACCAACTAGTAACATTAGCTATATCATACTATGACTGCGAAACCGCAGGGCAGCTTGACTCCCGTGTAACACCTGTATGTCAAGTACGTATTGAATTTGATATACTGGTGTTGTACGTATCGCTAAGCCTAATCATTGAACCTCTAACTCTGAATATTACACCTACGAAATGTCATGCAGAAAGAAGGCTGATTACCATATACTTGTCTAAATCAATGAAATATATGTTTCCCATTCAAAAAACTAAATAACTTAATGGCACAGATATTATCACAACTTTGGTTAAAGATAATAGGGAAATTGCTTGCCTAATCGTAGTCTTCATTACTGAAGGTCGTGCTTGTCTTGAAAATCCCTCACCGTTACGTCGACTTGCTACCTCTACTTATTCTCCGCTTGTCTCTGGGTCTTAGGGCTGGTGAGACCAATAATTGTCTTAATTTACTCAGACCAACGGGTAGTCCCATTACCAGTTTGTCGACGGAACTATCCGGAATTCCCCTAGCAATATGGCCAAGTATCTAAGTGCCCATTTGTAAATGACTTATGTTGGTTGAGTATGGATTTGTTAGTTCTTTTTGGAGTCTATGGTATTCGCAACATTCTCCTCCAACACCACATCTCGAATGCCTCTATCGTGTTTCGTTTCGCTGCACGAATTGACCAGGAATCTGTACAAAAATATGGAAAATACCATATTTCTGACGAGCCTACCACCGACTTTTTGGTATTCATCACGTTTCTATTTAAAATATTCTGGTCAGTATGTTCATCGCTTCTACGTAAGTAGAGTCACGGCCATCACCTTGTCTATTGTTATACAGTGACCGCAGACAAGGTAATATGTAACTGGTTCTAGTATTACAAATGTATGATAAATATAACATTATCTTAAACTTAAAATGGCAAAGTAAAACCCACTATTATTCTCAACAATGTATGATTTAAAATGTGCGTGACTCAACTCTAAGGTCGCCTTCAGACCCCGGCTACAATGGATATTTCTATGAGCGATGATTTCGACTTCCGCAGGAAGGTAAAGGTGAAAATGTGTAGACATCAAAATTTACGACTTCTTAAAAAAGATTAACTACTTTTCTATAAAAGACAGAAATGGATTCTTTCTTTTTTCTGCGGTATTTGCAATCAGCTCATTGGCTGTGAGCGAATCCGTTCTGTGGTGCTGTCTTCTAGCTCTAGAATATGGTGACGTTGAAGTCGGGCGAGCTACTTCTAAAGGATTCTAGCATCATTTTTTATCTAGAGACAGTGTTTCAAGTGGAAGGTTTATAAATGAAAACATTAATGTCTAGTTTAATTATGTAGTATAATTTATAAACAAATATTATTTGCGTGTGTCAAAATCCAAAACGTTTTTTGACATAAGGAAGTCATATCAATACTTGCGTTAGCGTTGTCTTACCATTTTTTAAAACTACGATTTCCTATAATCGCTTTCAATAATAAGTTTTCATATAATCGCTTTGGCAATATCTCATTAGATATATTCTCATATCGTTAATGTAGCTATACAGTTTTTCATTCGCAAAAAACTAATTAATAATTATTAATTATTATTATCTTAAAACACGTTGTTAATAACTAACTACTATGTGACTAAAAAATATATTAAACATTTAAATTAAAAATTGGTCGCAATGTAGAAGTGAGCAATACAATATTGATACTATCCTATTTCAAAGTAAAAAATTAGTCATTCTATATGTATACCTATTCGTTAACAAATAGGTATACATATAGAATAACAAAACACTCGAAAACGTTATCACTAAGCCAAATAACAAATTGTTATCGTTGTACTATTATTTGATGCTATGACATCATAGAATGAAGTTGTGATGTGTGAAGGCCATGTCATTGTTAGGGAATTTATTACTTGTTATTCGCTTAAACCGTCGAACTGATCTTCCACGTAATGTTGAACACATTATTTGTTTTAAAAGCCATATTCGATAAAAGTTTCGCCAATTTTAGTAACGTTTCGATACGTAAAAAGTTAACGAAATGTTCACCTAGGAGTTAACTTAAAGTTCGGACGTCGGAGTATACAAAATCCGTATCATCGACGTCCGTCGTTCCATAACTGAGCGTTTCTTAAGGCAGTTTTGCACACCATCACTATGTGCTGCCCACTGAAGTATTTGCGAACCAATTCGTTGAGGGTTCTTCAAGAAAAGAGCGTACCAATACTTAAAGGCTGGCAACACTTGCGAGCCTTCTAGCAATGTGAGTGTCCATGGGCGGTATCACTTAACATCAGATGAGCCTCCTATTATATATAAAAAAATCACTTCTAATTGGTATTAACTTATGTATACAGGAAAAAATTTACTAAAACATTGACAATCTATATAAATAAAAATAAAGCGCAAAGAAGATGGAACAATTCGAGTATTTTTATTTAAATTTATTCCTTGAACTTTGAGGAAGGTTTTTATGGAGAGAAAAATTTAAAAAATTTAGTACTTTGGTTTCTATTCTGAAAAACCTACGGTCTCCATGGGGTAGCATAGCAAAATATTTTATATGTTGGTATGTAGCTACTAAAGGGTAGGCTCAGTAAAAAAACATATAAGGGCGAAACGAAGTTAATTATATGTATATCTATATATTTAAGACTAAAATTTAGATTTAACTGAATAGGACGTCAAAATATTACATAATATAAGAAAGTTACGTTTGTATTTTATTATTAAGTTTCATTGCATAGTGTATTTCATTAAACATTTATTTGAAAGGTTACTGACTAAAGCCATTTAATCGATACTACCAAATGTCTTATTCAAAACCATTTTAAAAGCCTCAACTAGTAAAATAATGTTTTGTCACCTTTCTGTACTTGAGTGACAAAACAAAACATTTAGAATCAATACCAAGATTTTGATTACTTGTTTCCTATTAAAGTATATTACTTTATTATTTAACAACAATGCAAAAACAGTTTTCTTATATTGTTTATTAATATTATTAATAAATTCAGTTATTCTTTTGTTGCAGATGTCGGTAATGAAGTCCATAGTTGTGTTTTTAGTGTCAATGATAGTGGTACAAACGAGTGCCCAGGTGATGTTCCCAGGGGGATGTCCCAACGTCGAAGCTCTTACTAACTTTGAGCCAGCACGGGTAAGCAGTTAGTTCTGTAGTTCTGGGATATGGATAGCTTATCGACCAACCAATGCGCTAGATAAATTCGCAAGAAAACTTAATTATAACGGGAGCTGATATTAAACAAAAAATAATTGTTTAATTGTTATCTATTGTATAACACCACAAACGCACGCAAAATAGATCTATATAATTGATTCTTTGCCCTTAGTCTGATTTCCGTAGGTCAAAAACGTGATGGATTTTGATGGAGTCAGCTCCCTATTAGCTTTCAGTATTTATCCAACCCTATCTACTTCATGGATTTATAGCGAGCTCTTAAAGTACCATTTTTCTATAACATATAGTCATATTTCATCAATTTAAATGATGTTACGTGCGTAGTGCGTGCTCCTATTTCACTATGCTTACTGCTGATAGAGGACCAATGTTTGTATTTAATTATTTTTTTATTATTATTAATGACTTAAGATGTCATGTGGAACATAGTGTAATGTAAACTTGGCGATTAAAAAGAGTGGCGGAAAGTTTATTGCCAGTTCTTCTCGTCCGTTCTACGGCCTTTATTTGAGAACTGGCAGTAAATATAAAAGTAGAAGCATTTACCATTTAATATGTATTTCTTTATTGATGTTCATAAATGCACATTGTGTTACCTAAAGGAAAATGATTTTGTATTTTGAGTTATAAACAATTTCAGTATCTGGGGACATGGTACGAAGCTGAAAAGTACTTCGCGATATTCGAGCTGGGAGGAAAATGTATCTCAGCCAAGTACACTGATAATGGGAACGGGGTTATCGGCGTCAACAATCAACAAGTCAACTCCAAGTGAGTATTTTTTACTAAATTCTAACGGATATAATAAACGTCGAATTCTTAGCTCAGAAATTCACTGAAGTCACTTTTAATCTAATATTCAGTGACAATACACACGTTGGTGTATTTATAATGGATTGCACAAAGCTATTTCGTACTGAATCATACATTTGAGAATCACGTGCGGCTTGATCCCTTGGCGTTGCGTAGAGATGTGGGGCCTCTCTGCATCTTCTACTGCATTTACCATGGAGAGTGTTCAGAGGAGTTGTTCGGTCTATTGCCTGCAGCTGAGTTTCAGTATCGGACGCAAAATATAAAATGCCATCCGTATAACCTCGACGTCCGTCGTTCCACTACTGAGCGTTTTCTAAGGCAGTTTTTGCCACGCACCACTACTATGTGGAACCAGCTGCCCACTGAAGTATTTCGGAACCATTCGACTTAGGGTCCTCCAAGAAAAGAGCGTACCAATTGTTGAAAGGCCGGCAACGCACTTGCGAGCATTCTGGCAATGTAAGTGTCCATGGGTGGCATTATCACTTAACATCAGATGAGCCTCCTGCCCGTTTGCCTCCTATTATAAAAAAAGAGATACAGCAAAATCCTGGCCAGACACTAGATGTGTATAAGTGCGAACTAACACTGTCTAATGATCAAACCCAAATTCATAGTCGAGACTTTCGTATGTGAACAATCTATTGGATTTGGCTTAATATGGATAGTATACTATACTTAGCCTAAGCTGAATAAATAAAATCTGATAATAGTCCTAAATTGGGCCTATTTGAACACCCCGAACCCTGATGAGCTCCTTTAGTTGTTGATCTTGCGTCTTAGCTCTGAACATCGCCGTAGGCCATAGACACATTTACTCGCTACTCTATTGATATCCACTCGTAGAATAGAGTGCGTTTGTCTAAGAACCATGTTCAATGTTGCCCGGACAGATTTCAAAGAATTTGCACATCGTGGCTAAAGTAGATAGAAACTATCAATTTATATATTCATGACAAACACTAGTAAAGTAATTTTTTCTTTATCGAAAAACTTAATTTTATAGTGAGCACATATCTCGAAATAGCAAGTCTTTTGATTATTAATCGTTTTAGTAACAAAAAATGTGTAAAGTAAAAAATTATCACGTCATCTGAATTACAAGATTAATATAGCGTAACACGTACCTGCAAATCGGAGGCATGTTTGAGGTGAAATATATGATAAATATCCGAAGGTCCTTTACAACCATGAATATTTGCAAACTTAACCTATATTTTAATAATTATAATAATATGTTTTCTATTATTTTAGACTAAGGTTGGTGATTCTATATTTTTTTTGTAAGATTTGCTTATGCACTTCATGCACTTTACCCATCTATTGTTTTTTTAGTGTTTTCCTTACTAGGGTTGCCTGGAAGAGATCGCTTGTTAGCGATAAGGCCGCCCGTTGCATCCTTTATAATTCTTATGTGTTATGTTGTTTGCTTTTCTATAAATGTAACGAAGTGTAAATAAATAAATAAATAATAATTATAGGAAACGAGACAGTTAAAATATTTTCTTTGAAGATAGCTAGAGATTTCATATGCATGAATAGGTTTTAATTTACAATTTTGGTATGATTTTTCCAATTGCCATTATCATTCACCTCACTTGTTAGTTTTTGATGTTAAGCTTGTTTGGACCCACGAGAAATTAATTGTCTGAAAGATTTTTAAAACTTTTCAGAGGTGCCAAGTCCGGAATAGTTGGTGAGGCGAAGTTCACAGGACCAGCGAACATCGCAAAGCTTAGTGTGCGCTTCCCGTCTCTTCCTGTCGACATCCCGGCGCCATATTGGGTCATAGACACAGATTATGACAACTACGCTTTAGTATGGAGTTGCACAAACCTGGGTATCATGCATACAGGTAAATTTAAATCAGGCTTTTAATTTAATTAACGTAAATTTATTACTTACTGTGTGGAACCAGCTGCCCACTGAAGTATTTCCAAACCAATTCGACTTAGGATCCTTCAAGAAAAGTGCGTACCAATTCTTATAAGGCCGGCAACGCACTCGCGAGACCTCCTCATTGAGTGTCCATGGGTGGCAGTATCACTTAACATGAGGTGGGCTTCCTGCCCGTCGGCCCCCTGTTCTACAAAAAAAGTTTTTGTATTGTAAAATGACGCTTTCGTTACAAAAAATTCCCAATTCATATGTAATTTTTTCTGTTCGTCTCATTTATTTATTAGTATTATACAAGTAATTATTTTAATAAAATAACCTAATACTGACTTTAAACTAATTATTTTCAGAAACCTCCTGGATCCTGACGAGGGAAAGAAATCCACCACAAAGTGTTTTAGATACGGTATACGCTGCCATCGAAAAGAATAAGATTGATAAAACCCACTATATCAAGACCGATCAAAGCAACTGTCCCAAGGACGCCTAAATATTTAATTTTATAAGACTGTATGTACATTAAAACATATCAAAAATAAAAGTAATGTTTTAAATTTTCTAACCCCTGAGTATATTTATAATTTGCTTAGAACAATTAATTTATATATGAAACAGTTATATAGGAATTAGCGCTTGTTTCTTGTTGTATTAACCAAATATAAGTTAACGGCTATCAGCTGTCTTTGGAGCGACGTTGTGATGTGATTTCCTACAAAATTGTAATTTTTCTAAAATAAGAATAATAGTGAAGTAGTTGTATGATGCCTAATTATACATATATATATATAGTATCGTACTCGTAAAAATATAAAACCATATTTTAGACTGTAGTAACTACTCTTCAGGAAAATTAATAGCATAATTATGCTAGATTGTATTTGCCGATATTACAACTAAAAGGTTATTTCAAGACAAATTATACAAAAGTTTTAATAAAAGCAACGATAACATACTTATTTATTAGTTCTTATGTATAAAGAGACTATACAAACAACCATTAGGTGCTTTTCTAGACTCGAAATTTAACATTGTAACGCTACTTGCCGACAGATGGCGCTTATCTCAATGTTCTAGTCACGTATAAAAAGTAAATTACGAATTTTTATACGTTTATAGTTGAATGATGAGTCCGAAACACCTAAAAGCGATCTTTATGTGGGAGTACTATCGTCCGAGTGCCAACTTTTCCTTTTCTCACGGGTTGCCTCGTCGTAAGTGGGTGGTGGTGGGATTCTCTTAGTTTTACACTTCGCTGGTACGAGTTTGTCTTCATCAGCCTCCTCTGGTATCGAGTCTCTTCGACGGCTGTCAAACTCAACCAGTGCCGGCTGCGATATGTTTATGCGCTGTGTTAGTTTTGGAGCACTGTTTGCTAACTGAAAAAAAAAAGTGCAATACGGTACAATTTTAAGTTAAAATTTTGGTATATATGTTATATTAAACTAAGATCGGAAACAACTTAAAATCAGGTCAGCGTTATTTCTTCATCTTACAGTCAAGTGTTCAATTGCGTACCCATATGGAAAACTGATTAGAACACACAACCGCAGGGATGATATTTGCGACTTCTTGATACAAAATATCCCCTCGGGATTTGTGGGTGATATCGAGGGCTACTCGATTGCTAGGAAGTTGCATGGAAGTCTCATTTTCACACATTTTTTCTTATTTCTTACACTTTTTTATAATTGTTTGATTTTCCTCGTTTTTTGTGTGATGTTTTATAGCATAATAGTAATAAAATAACATTTAAATTTACAGTTGAGACTTCAAGTGACATGAAATTGATCTTTTAAAAGTCCCGGACAATTATTATAAATTGCAAGAAACAACAACTATAATTATATTATATATATTATATTTATTTATTTATTTATTAACACTTCGTTGCATATACATTAATATAGTACAATTGACATAATTAAATAAAAAGGGGAGCAACTGGCGGCCTTATCGCTTTCGAGCGATCTCTTCCAGGCAACCACTGTGAGAAAAAAAAAAGTGAACAAAAAACAAACTAAACTAATAAAGAATACATGAAAAAAAAAATAATAATAAAAAGTGCACATGAATCATTATAATTTAATTTCAGAATTTAATTTAAGATCAGTCTCACGACAGTTGGTAGGTACCTATTACATATTAAAGTTGTATACATGTATTAAATAGATTAATAATTTTATACTGGCGCGTTGTCTTTATGACTCTTTGCAATAGATTTCTTTGTAGTAGAATGTGTCTGAACATAATTATTTTCTTGAAATAGGCATATATATTAATTTTAAATAATTATTATACTGACGCAAAAAGATCAAATTGACATATTTTTAACATGTAATTGATAACACATAATCACAGCTATAAACCGGTAAGTATAAGATAAAGTGTGCAAATGAAAATATTACAAAAATCACAGCGAAACCTCGACTGTTTTATTTATACACGGATTTAAGATATTTTTACTTCAGCTACTGTTTATGACAATTAGATTGAGCGAGATACTGTACTTTCTGTGGCGAAATGTTTGACGGGACTTTAAAATTCTTATTTAATAATGAAAATAAATTTTAAATAAAAAAAAGTGTGGCGTTTTTTAAAGCAACTGTACACCACCACTTTGTGGAACAAGCTGCCCACTTATGTATTTCCGAACTAGTTCGACTTAGGTTCGATTCGACCAAACTTCAATTTATACACGAGTAACTATACCAGGAATAATCTATTCCATGATTTTAATCTCGAGTAAATTCATAGTCGTTTCTCCACGTAATCGATAGTATAATTGAGCTAGGAATAACAATACGCGAATAGCAAAGAGAATGTTGAATGAAAATAAAACTCGGCAAATAAATTTTGTTCTACAACGGGACAGTGTAAGAGCATACATCATGTCAACTTGATTTTGCCGTATTATAGTGTGAAAAAGTAGCTGTTAGGCAGGTGTGGTTGTCGTCTAAAAAGGAACTTCTGTTGAGCCTAGTTGAATTTCATTCTAATATTATAGAAAATGAAAAAACTAAAAATAAATAAATAAATAATAAATTGTTTAAACGTTTCATTATACAATGCCAGACTATTAATTTAGTGCGTTGCGTTGACTTGAAATGAAAACACAGAATACATATTTGTGAAATGACAGAAATCAGCTGATTGGACTGACTGACGCCATTAAATTATTCTAGGAATAGCTGTTATTCCGTGCGAAACGGCGGTATAGTAACAATTCCCGAATAGGCCCACTATTCTTAGAATTTGTAGATGGTAAAACGTAAAATTGATTTACTCTCGATTAACTGACGATTTATTCTAAGATTAAGATTTACTCTTGTTTGGTCGAATCGACCCTTAGAGTCCTTCTAGCTAAGAGCGGTCCAATTTTTAAAAGGCCGACAATGCACTTGCGAGCCCTCTGGCAATGTCAGTGTCTGTGATCACTTTTGATGCTAAACTTAAGCAGCAAACATAAGTAACAACTCATACTTATTTCGACACTTAGTTACCAACGGATCCTGATTTGTAAGACATGTTACACGCAAAGGTCCAGAAAGTTTAGAGAAACTTATTGTGACTGGCAGACCTAGAGGCTGATCAACTAAAGGCCTTCCAAGTCTTACTATCACCCAGGCGCAGAGGCTTGCCGAAGACGAAGGAAGGAAGGAAGAGTGAAGGAAGTTATACGGCGCCACTAACACGGCCTTCAGAACTGAAGAGCGCCACTGAAGAGGAACAGGACTCACTCATTTGTAATCAAAATATGGAAGTCCGAGTGAGGTTATCTAATTTGCGTTAACCGTACATAGAAATCTATCAATTCCATGTCCCATTCATCTTACCTTATAAGGATGAGCTGTAGTCCTATTAGACAGAACCGGGTTCGATATGTGCCCCTTAGCCTGTTGATGAGAGACCTCAAGGGCTGAACGTAGAAGATCAACCTTGGAAGCAGAGCTTTGGGATTTTGGAGATATTTCGATGTTGCTGCACCGCCGCTGGCTGTTACTCCCGCTTCTGCTGCGACATAGTTCGTTGATGTCGCCTTGGGATAGCTGGAATTGGGTTTTGCTTAAATCATTTTAACTTCTATGAAAAAAATATATATCGTATCGCAAAGCAGGCAAAATAATAAACGGCTCAAATGTAAGAGTCTTTACAGAGTAGAGACTCTTGGGCCGTGTGGTTCAGTGCACAGTCGCGCAAAGATTTAAGTTGACGCCTGGTAGATAATACCGATGACCCCAGAGCTTGTGCTTTCCTCGTTCAACGAATAAGGGCCAGTTTTTTGATCCGTAGTAAAAAATGGTATCACCATTTGTTACATTAACTATAGTTAAATGAATAACCATTGGTAAAATCGTAAATGCGTTTTTCAATCTCTATTTTAACTATAGTTAAACTTAACAATTGGTCAATTTGTTGCCAGTGCAATGAACAATGACATCCCAAAAAATGTAGTTTTTTTTTGTGGGGAACATTTATTTTGTATGACAACACTAGACATACTGAGTGAACGAAATCCATTTTTGCCATCTTCATTCGTTATTTGCGCTTTGAGCGTAATGCTGCTAGCATTAAAGGTACACTGCCACAGAGACCACACCTTTAAATTTGTCTTAATTTGTTAATTATTACTATGTAAGTTAAGAATATTGTGAATACTAATCATAAATAGTTTAATTATGTTTATTTAATATAAAATATCGAAAATTCGTATCTTTTTAAATAAATTAATTAATTAGATCTAATCTTATCTAAAAAGAGCTTAAAATCGTCCAACCTAATGAGTGTAAACCTTTTATACAGATACGGAATAAAATCAAATACATTCAAATCGGATAGCTTTAAATCTTAGCGAAGAGTTTTATGCATAGACTTGGGGAACTATGGTGTAGGTACATAAGTTTACTTACCCTGGCCCTAGATCCTCTGGATAATGAATGCAAAGAACCCAGAGGATTATATCTAGTAATCATATGCAGCCGCTCCAAAGATACCATCGTCTCAGCATCCTTTCTAAGAGGTTCACCATTTAGCTTATCGCCTTCACCACTTTCTGGATATTTAAATTAGATATTAGGAATGTAATAATTTAAAATTTGTTAGTTATTAAAGGTATTAAAAAAATATCTATGATAATATAGCCATGTATGGACAATCGCACTTGCATCAGGCGCGCTTTTTGGTTTTAATATTGACCTTCTATCAAAGCACTCTGAACACATATACTATTATATTTGAAGTATTTTTCCTTCATCCATCTTTTTCATAAACACATTCACTTTGGTTTGTTAGTCATTCACAGATACACAATCATCATCATATATTTATTTTTTTTTCTGTTTTTCACTGCCATTGTTTTAAAACCAAGTGTTTTTGTTAAAACATTGTTTATTAAAGAAGAGCGAAGCTTCCCTGTCACAGGTCTTTGACTAACTAGGGAGGCTTCAATCTGAACTCTATGTATAATAGCTAAACAAAAAAAGAATTTTGAATTTTGAACTATGTTTGAAAATACTTTCCTTCTAACGTATTACAATGCATGAACCACCCATAATCAAAGTTATGCCTAAAATGTGTTTCTGGATTTGACAAAGCAATGCGATTGAAATCTAGCAAACTCGCTGTAAAGACACTTAAATTCACGTTATTAAAAGTTAATTAAATCTTACCTGTATCCGGCTCCGATATCTCTGGCATCGCTTTCATATTGATATTTCTTAACCAGAAATAGTGTAAGAGACCGTAAAGCACTCCGCCCAAGAAAGCTATCAACCCCATGTATCTGAAGGCTTCTCGGGTACCCAGTGATGCAATTAACAAACCTCCGCCAAAACTTCCACTTCCACGGCCTTAAAATATTAATAGTCTTAATAGCCTTCATATTAATAAATCCCATTTTAATTATTAGTTACTTGAACACTAACATGAAATAAAACATAAATAATCAGCCTTGCCTTCAGTCTTTGATGACTAAAGCTGGTGGTGGTGGTTAGTGGACACCGATAGCGCAACGGCTGATATATGGACATACCTAGTTAGCTGATTCATATGATTTAATAATAATAATAACAGTAATAATACTGTATAACAGTAATTATTCCTAGTTATTAGTCACGTGACGCCCTATAGTCGAGCGTTCTAATCCAGACTGCACCAATGTACGTGTTTTGTGTTCTCAATTGTTACTTGCTCTTACGGAAAATAAACATTATAGGGCAAGCAACACGTCTCACGTCGTGTGTCAGGCACAAAAAACTTACTTACCCAAGGAACTGATGGTTTCATCCGATTAAAAAAAACATGGTAAATGTCTGTATTAGTCTTGTAAGTAAACATAATGTAACAGACGTAAAAATATATGTCTAGAACTTTATTGAGTAATCTGGCGTGGATTATGAATACCTACCAAGACTAAAATGAGCCATTCCCAATACGCCAATTAGAGTCGCGAGAAGACTCTTCGGCGCCAACATAGCGCAGTAGGTGGCTGCAGCAACCCACATTAAATGTACCGATAGTGACTCCATGGCCTCAAATGGAAAACACCACCATGAGTCCCTGCAATACATATAATAGGTAAATAACGTAGTAGTGGTTTCATACTACTTCGAGCCCGGAAAGGATATTGGTCCTTATCTAAAACAGCTAGGAGATATCGTTAGTACAGTCAAGCAGAGAACCATACTAGGAGGAGACGCTAACGCAAAGAACTCCTGGTGGGGTGGCTCCAAAGTCGATAGGAGAGGCCTGGACTTCGACGCTGGTATCAATGAACGGGGCCTGCACATATTAAACGATGGACAGGTCCCAACATTCGATACTGTTAGAGGCAAAATCAAATTTCTCGTTATAGTACCTAACTAATAGTAGTCTAAACTTGTAATTTGTATTGTTATCTTTTAATACACTGCCTCTTTACGGAGACATCATGGAAGATAACGATCTATTAAGACTAATAAGTAATTTAAGTCTAACCTTATCTACTATGAAGAATGTTTATCATGAGAAAGTGTCCAATAACACTACTTATAGTCTCTGTTTTCACCTACCACGGTTTAGTACTTTTTATATTTATACTAGCTGCCCCCGTGAACTTTGTTTCTCCTTAATGTGATTTTACTTAGCCTACCTTTTTAGTACATACCAACATGGAACATTTTGCTATTCTACCCGGGAGACTACGGTTTTCCGGAATGAAAACTTTTTAGGTTTTTCTGGGAATTTATATAATAGAGAACTATTTACACCTCAGAGTTCAAGTCATAAGTTTTTAATTAACAAATAAAAATAGGGGTTGATCGTAGAAAGGTGAAAATTAAAAACAAAAAATTTTGTCTAAAAAATGGGGACCACCCTTAACATTTAGGGGAATTAAAAATAGACGCTATCCGAAAGTTCATACGTGACTTATAGGATTTATTAAAGTTGTGTATCTATACTTTTGTATTAATTTAAATATCTTATCACTTACTTATAGTAAAACTCTCGTTAAACGTACATTAATCAGTAAAGGTTTCTATAAATTTCAACATTATTTAAATGATCCTAATCCTTGGAATTGATTAGCTCCATTTCAAACAATTTGTGTGACACAAAACTTAGCGATTAAAAAGAGTGTCAGAGAGTTTCTTGCCCGCCCCAAGCCCTTGACTTGCGAACTGGTAGTAAATGTAAATTTAGAAAAATATTAACATCTTTTCTGTTGACGTTCATAAGTGTACTAGGTTACTTATAAGTTATTTTAGGTTTGAGTTTGTAAAATCAGAGTTACTAAGTGCCTCCTACCTTACTAAAATGGAGTTATAGACATCCCTAACGTTTAAAATAAACTTCATACATGAAATAGATATGAAATCGTCCTTTTGCATTAAAATACCATTTGTCGAGGTAAACCATTTATGACAGTCAAGTTTATGATCACAATGTCCACAAATGCGTAGGTTACAGTTATCATGTAATTCCGACCATTTTGTATTAAATATAACCTTGGTTTAAACTACGATTAGTTATTTGTAAGTCCCGCATAAACGTGGTTTATACTAATTTTTTAATTTCACAATTTTTCCGAAATTTCGCTGTTACTGCATGTTGTAGGGACGGCACCGGTTTTCCTATTTTTGTATGAATCGATTTGTCCTAATCTCATGGTCCAAATAAAAAAAAACGTGTGTGTACTTATGTACACGCGTTAGAAGTTATACTTCTTTGGCGTAACAAGATTAAAATCTTTTCAAACATTTTCTCTTTCGCCTTATTCTACGTTTGTAGAAGAAACGACACTAACAATAGGAAAAGATTACTCTTGTCATTTTTCCCTAAGGGGGCGTCCATAAATTACGTGAGGTGTTTAAGGGGGGGAGGGGGTCGAATCAAATCTCATTTAATCTTACGTTGGAGAGAGGGGGGGTCTCGGCAAATATCACGCAATTTTTTTTTGAATGAAAAAAAAAACTTAGGAAAACGGTTGACCCTAAAGGCCATCTCTGCAACTTCCCGCTAACTCCATACCTAAACGCTCAACATTTCACTTATTTTGTTTTAGTCGTAAATTAAAGCACGAAGCAAATTTTTCTTTCTTTTTACAATAACAATCCAACGCGTTTACGTAAGAAACCCACATTTTGAAAAATCTCACGTGAAATTGGCGGATGGGGGAGGAGGTTGAATAAAATCTCACGACATCTCACCAGGGGGGGAGGAAGTTACAGAAAATTTAAAAAAACACCTCACGTAATTTATCGACGCCCCCTAACGCGCCAAAAGAAGTATCGTAGAAGGGTGTCGGTTTTTGGTGACGGTGTGCGCGCGCATCGTAAAAATTTAGGTACTCTAATCTCAAACGTAATTCTTTAACATATTAAGCGAATATGTCTTCGCCTGTCTAATCCTTATACTGTCTTGGAGCTTATTTTCGTCAGAGACTGTTTTTAATCGAAAATGTTACTATTTGTATAATTTAAAAATGTAATAAACTCTAAAAAATTGGCGTTTGCTTGTTGGTAAATCATTGCAACTGAAAAGCGTTTCGGCGGGGCTTTTAAATCTAAATGGTAAATTTGAATTTTTAACGGAATATAAATAATCTGAAATGGTTTTAAAATCTTAATAAATGAAGCAATACAATGTTATTGGTACGAATTTTTTTAACGTTGTATAGAGGTTGAGGACTCTTAAATAACTAAGGGCCTCATAGCCTAGCGGTCTTATTAGGTGGCCGTTAGGGTACTGGGTTCGATTCCCAGTCGGGGCGCCAGTTTCATTCTCTGCCTTTGGTAGGGTTGTATGCTACCGGGCGAGTGCTTAAACCATATATGGCGGGCACTGCCGAATGGATAAAGCATGCAGAAGGGATCAAACCTCCTAGGCCCAGGATGGTAGTTGCAAGTGGTTGGCAATTCATGATTCCTCTTAAATAATTGATATATACGGCCCTTATTATAAAGTCTGCATCTTCCATTGTCTCTATCGTGACCATCAGTCAACATTGATTTAATTGGATAAACATCTCTTATCAGTTAAGAGACTATTGTTTTGTCATTAACTTGTAGGATCCTCGACAAATGTAAATAGCCCTAAAGTGTAGACTTAACGTAACTATTAACTAACTACCTTTGTTGGATTACGTGGAATGTTGTCAAAATACACTATACATTGAGGCTTGTTCTTCAGGACTACTCCGTAAAATAAAATAGGTTCAATCAGCTGGAATTCAAAATCTAAATAGGCAATCCTTTCAATATTCGTAGCGCTTATGTCTCACACTTACTAAAAGTTCCATCATATTAAAATCTGCAGTCAGGCATAATCACAAATGTAATAAATGCTTCAGTGATTTCATAGTGTCGACTCTGAATCTGTGGGTTTATTCCACTTAAACTAAGCGCTAAGTGTGATTTCCGTAAGTTGAAAACGTATTGGATTTACGGACAAAAATTATGTCTGTCAGATACCATTTGGGCCTTAGAAGAGAGATGCAATATTGTGGGAGATGTAATATATAGCGCAATAATGTAAAAAGCCAAGATGTTTTTTATTCGCCTAATAGTAGGGCGTTTCGGGATTGTACTAAATGACACTCGATTAAATCCATTTTTCATCTTTTTCAACCCTTACCATAACAATATATATTCGTTACATATATAAGTTCGATGACGTGTAGATTATTTAAAATACGTCCAGCACCTTACTCAATGAATGCATATCCCAATAGTCTGACGCAGCATGAGTAAGTCATGCAACCATTGACGAAATGGCCGATTGGATGTCATTGCGTCTGCGCCGTACGGAACTGTAAACACTTATAGTGCCCACAGTTTCAGTTATTCCTGGGTGGGGATTACTGAGGATCTAAGTCTTCGTACACTCAATAGATCCTATATGACACTCCGAGTAACTAGTCTCACCATTTAGAGATACGTGAGTACTCCTCAACTACTATAACTAATATATTATTTCGGTCTAGCATTTATAACCGTTCGATTAGGATGTGCTAGATAAACGGTTTACAAAAATGTTTTTTTCCAAACTTAATCTTAAGCTGAATGAATATTAAGACCACGAGTTTAGCATGTACCATTATTGCAAAAGAACACGACCATGATAGACGACATCTGATAATGGCCGATTTGGGATGTTATTGCGTCTGATATACGCAACGTACCGATGCACAGTCGCGATACTACTAACGCTCGAAAGTGCCCACAGTCACAGTATTCCTGGATAAGTAGGATTACAATCTAATTAGTTAATAAACAACCTTAAGTGTCCTTAAGTGTATAAAACGCCCGGAACTTGTCTTCTAAATCCACCGTTCGGTAGGACAATGATTAACAGTAAAGTCGACTGCCTTTTATTCCTCAACTAGCTGTAAATTTATCGACTTTGGTGCTACATAGTGCACGTTGACTGAAGACAATCGGTCGTTGCGATGTTGAATCCAGTTTAGTAAATATTAAGACACAGTGCCTTGATTTAAACTAAGATTGGCCTCCTGACCCACAAATAAGGTAAAATATTTGCCAAACTACCCCCAAAATCTTCAGCTTTATAAATTTATTCTATAAGAAAGATTTAAATACATGTACATCAACTATTTATGCCGGACAGGAGACAGTGATAAAGGCAATATCTAATTGTTTATGAGTTTCGTAGTACATTTTTGAATAAAAGTTTTGTTGGTTTGACAGGTAGATTACGATGAATTAAATTAATTTTACATTGACGGATTTGATTCGCGTTTAAATTAAACAAAACTCAAACATTTAAATAAATATTATTGGGGTTTGGACACATTAAATTTAGGAACAATACAAAAGCTATTTCTATTATTCTACGTTCTAGTTTTACTAAAGTAGATTAAAAGTCAACTCACCTAAGAGAAAATTCGGTGCACCCAACTCCTTCAGATATAAAAATAAATACGACTCAATAAAACCCCAGAAATTTCCCAACGCAAATAAGAAGAATATGAATATTATAATATGCGGCATTTTGATGATATTAATTAAATCGTGCAACAAATTATCTGCTGGCAATTTAGCTCCTAACGGCATTACAGCGACTGTAATAGCTGATATTAAAAGTAACACGTCATATGTATAAAATGCAGCAGAATAATCTGTATACCCTGAAACAATATAAATAAAACAATAAAATAAAGATAATTGCAGATTGCGCTATAACGCTAGATTTCTTGAAGACGCTGTGATCATGTTACAATGTATATGTCGCAGCCAACTAGCTTAATTAGCCATTCAATTAATAGCCTAGTCTCTTAACTAAACAGCGCCGTTCAACTAGCGGCTTGAATGATATTCAGCCATTTGATTAAACAGCTAGGCAAATTACTTGAATCGATGATGTTACATTACTTTCCTATCCTGTTCATTACAATTTAGTAAATAAATGTCTTCTGGTCGAGTACTTTTTTCGAGTCTAGTCAGTTATTAGACAGCCTAATGTTAACCAACTAAAAGTAAGTTGAAAAACTACTTTTATATGCATTTGTTCCAATCATAATAAATAAATTTTGAAACCTAGGTTTTCTAATGTAACATATGATGATTTTATTATATTATTCTGTAAAATAAAATAAAATGTAAATAGATTTAAAAAAAACAGTTTTGCCACCTTTACCAAACTGCCAATAAAGCGTCGGCAAACAACAAATTTGATGATGTTTTCCAAAGTTTAGTGAAAACTAGTATGGAAGAGTTTAGTGACACTAAGAGAAGTGTAAGAACACTAATAAGTTACATTTTAAATATAATAAATTAAGAATTCCTTATGTCAGATATTTAAGATTTTTTACTTCTGTCATATGAGCATACGAATGGCTTATACATAAGCCAGTTAGTTTATTAAATGCTACGGCTGAATATAATTTAGGCCGCTAGGTAAACGGCTAATTAAGCATACACATAGTGACATACACACCATACAAGCGAGTGCCAGTTGCGCATAGAAACAGCGCACAGCTGGGGTTTGAACGCACGACCTCAGGGTTAAAAGTCGCAGTCAGGGAATGTGACTTCTTAATATGTGTCAGTATAAGTTAAAATAACTTCTTATAATAACATTCGAAACCCGCGGCAACGATAAAATAGATTTCCCAAATCTTAAAGAAATGTTCCGGTCGTATGTTGTAGCGTTCACCAAGACCTATTATTTGATATTACTTGTGTTTGACTTAGTTTTAATAATCAGCTTCATACATACCAACTTGTTTACTCCTCATATCTATTAACATGCCGGTAATCGGTGAGAATATCGCCATTCCAATACTAGAGAACAGCCTCTCTCTACCAAAATCTCCTCCATACTTTTGAATCATTGTCAATGCTATAGGATCCATGATTGTCACGCCAGCTGATAACATGATGGTGCCCATAAATCGTAAGAAGAAATAGATATAAAAAGTCTTATCGTCGCTTTCCTTATAGTCCGGTGGGCAAACATCCGGGCCACCTTTTCTGTAAATTAGTTTATCGATCAATGATGTTTTATCGGTCAATAATGTTTATGACTTTCAACAAATATGTTTACGATTGTCATGTATGTCTACTGTATTAAGTAATCGTAATTTTATAATATATTTCGTATTAATCATGTTACTAACGTGACTTAATTTGGCTATATATAAAGACTACAAATTTAAGGCCCCTGCTTTGATGTTATAGTTGTAGATTCTTACAAATATATAGAAAAATTGGCGATTTAAAAGAGTGACGGAGAGTTTAATAGCTCTTCACGTCTGTTCTACGCCCTTGTACGAGCCAAGGCTACATTTTGCTCACTCAGATTATCTTAGTTTTATTAGCGCGGTGAATGCCTAATTTCACTGTCTCTAGCATAGCAGTTTCATTACATTAAATTATTTTATGTTCTTTGTTTAATATCTGTGATGATAAATAAAGGATAATTATTACATTATTTAAAACATCCCACAGGAACCGTATACCTAGTACTATTAGAGAACTGGCAGTAAGTGTAAATTTAGAAGCATTACATCCACTGATGTTCATAAGTAATACTACCGATAAATTATATTTTGATTTAATTTCATTTTATTTACCTAAAATCACATTTTTGCACCATACAGTCCGCAGATAGGGTTGCAAGGCGTAGTTGAGATAACTTGGTCATGTTATGTAACATAACGAGACCTCCACATCTCAAATCTTCTTTATCGAGAGCAGTAATATTTACACCTTGGGCTAGTAGGAGTTTCTCACCAAATCGTGATCTAAAGTCCGTTACAGTGTCATTGTCATCCTAAAATTTTATAATGTCAATTGCAAGTTTATTAGTAACTTTTCAAGTTTCTGTTGTGAAAATTAGTATGACCGCCAAAACCCTTGAAAATTTGGGATAAAAATCAAGACTGAAAGATGTGGATGACCTGTTGAGATGCATGTAATTTTCAGGATCGTTATTCTTACCCTTTCCATTTCAATACCAAGTTGTTCTTTTGGCTCGCCTAAGTCATCGTGTACTTCAATTAAAAAGAAGGCCGCGTCATTATAATCTTCTTCTTCGTAGGTCCCATTGACAAAGCTAAAAATTATCATTATTTAGTTTATAAAAACTTTTTATCGTTTATGACACTTGACACTTCCAACACAATTTCACCGTCTCGAATAGTTTGAACAGGAGCAAATGCAGTTTATATATTTATGTTAATTATATTGATGGAACCTACTCCCTCTATGTCAGCCTTAGCCTTTCTAAAACTCTTATGCTCCCTACAAATTGCCCCCCACCCCACCATGTACCATACATAATTTTTAATATCTGTAAATTGAATTGCTCACTTAAGAAACTTAAATGATACGTTTTAGGAAGAAATTACTTGGAAATTGTTAGCGAAACACAGTAAGTAGTTACCACTTATATAGGTAAATTAATTGTGACTCAATTAACCCTTGGATTAGCGTTTACATTTTTGTTTATAAATATTATGATTATTATTTTTTTTAGATTTTACTTTATTTTAGTTATATGTTTTTTTGTTAATTATTTATGCACTTTTTGTACTTTACCCTCTGTAGGTGGTTATATTTTTATTGTTCCATATTAGGGTTGCCTGGCAGAAATCGCTTGTTAGTGATAAGGCCGCCCGTTGCCTAATAACTTACGTAAAAAATATTATTCTATTATTAGTAAGAAATATATTATATATCAGTATAAAATATTATGATTAGTAAGAAAAACAATATATTACGACAAATGCAACTTAATTAATTAATTATTAATTATTATTAATTAATATAATATGTATATTAATAATTAATTATTAAAAATTACAATTATGAGATGGTCTTTCAATTTAATATCGGAATTTACAAATCAAAATTATTTTTATATTGGCTTTTGTCTTTACATATATAGAAATAGAACCTTTTTACCTGCTGTTGGATAAATTAGGTGGATAAATCTTTTGTACAATGTGAACATCGATGTCATCCTTATCATCTGTCGGGTCACTTGTGGGGCTGGTCTCCGTCGGTCTGAATAACATGCAGTGGTCCACACATCGGTCGAGAACAAAATCTACTTGTTCGTCCTCATCAGGGCATTCTCTGCTCGGACACGGGCTCCACCATATCTAGGAGCATCGTTTTTAATTACATATTTTATAAAGTTGAAAGACGAAACTAACCAAATTGATTGCCGAAGAGAATATATTATATTGTGTAAATAGTTAATTTACTATGAAATTATCTTGAGTAAAGAGTAAACACTAATATAATAACTAAGTTCCTACTACATTGCAATCGCGTAAAATATGCCCGATTAATAGATAATTCTATTTCTATATTAAAATGATACAACAAATATTGCACACAATACGACATTATTACAAATATAGCACTGAATACATTCTTTCATCAAATACTAAAATAAGTTAATGCGATAATTCTGAACAAAGCATTGGCTTTTCACGTAACATTACAATGCACTTGAGATGGAATGCATATCAATGTCATGTTTAAGAACATTATCATACGGTGTGCATCTATATATTTAGCTCTATTCTCTTAACGATTCAGAAAGGCCCTCCGACACTAGTTAATTCTAGTGGCCGGATGAAGTCGATTTGCTCAAATTCTTAGTGGACAGGAGCTTGTAACTGTAACAACTGAGGAACAATCTTGATAGAAGTAAAATACCTCGACGCTCTCCTTTATCGGATGTCTCATAACGTATGCGGATGGCATAACTCCTGGCGTTTCCTGATGCGGTATCAGGAGTAGGGAATGATGAAACGCTGCGTTTAATATCAAAGCCGTTATCACAACGGGCTTGTACTCGCCGAAACGATCCACCAGGAATCCTAAAATAAACACAATTAGCGTAATATGAACAATTAGCAAAAATTTTCATCCCAAATCTCACTTACCAGTTATCGGAGGACTTAAAAACGTTGTAAACGGTAAAGCTAAATATACAAAAGATATCTCTGGCACCGTTAAACCAATACTTTGCATGTGTATCGTTAGATATGGAAGAAGAGATGCGGTGGCGCCATACATCACAAAGAGAGTCACTTTTAACATAATAAGGTTCGGGTTTATCCGTAGCGATATAATGAACCTCCGGAAACAACCGGGAGGGTCCTCCTCATCATCCATGTCCATGTCGTCTTCACTGTACTTTTTTGGTATATCGTCACACGATTTGGCCATATTGAAAACTATTCACATTTTCATAAGTGTGTATACGCGAACTATATCTTATCGACTGGCGCATGGATTGTCGGTGAGGTTGTCGGTGATGTGACGATTATTTACTTAAGGATTGGAGTCTGGCAGCAGGGAGCCAAGTGTATACCGCGGTCCCGACTGCGCGCGACCCGAGCGGACGGAGCAAGACTCCAATTTACAAATAATAGCAAATTACCTTCGTTAAAGAAGTGTCACGGCGATTGGTGGGGATGCTGGCTAAATCGACTCGTGATTTAAAGACCTTGAGGATAATCGTCGAGTTCAGGGCGCTTCTGGATAGATAGCTTAGTTCCCGACTGACTTACGCAGCGAATAGCAAACCCTCTGCAAATCGTAAGTAAGTAATTTTATTTATTTCGTAATGATTGTGATTTTAATATTTTCTAAGCTAATCGAAAGAAGCATAGCACACGGAAAAATATTGCAAGGAAATGTTTCAGCTAACGTAAACATTTCCTTACAATAATTAACGATAACAGTGTACACACACGGTTACTAATAAACAAACGAAAATATAGTTCTTAAGTTATATTGTAGTACTCCGTTTTATTTAATGCCAATTATATTTCATATATTAAGTATAGGTTGATTTTGATTCTACCTGTACTGTTATTTCCCATATACAAATTAGAAAGTTTTCATGAAAATCATAATTTTTGCCAGTAATGGTTTAAACTAGCTTAATTTTATTTATGACAGTTTTCGATAAGAAATATAAATACGATATCATAACACCTACGGCTATACGGCCAACTACATTGTACAAAGATGAAAGTTTTACAAAATCTAAATGTAAATAATCATTTACAGTATAAAAATCCTCATATGATATCTTAAATTAGGTATATAAAAGATACAATTTAATGTTGAATTACCAAATTTATTATCAATGTATCTTTGAAATGCTAGAATATTATTTCTAGCAGTTACAATCGTTTAAACAAATATAATCAGCCCAACTTAATGTTATTTGCACAGACCTTTAATGGTTATTAATTGAATTATTGGTATCAGCACAGTCAATCATTTGCTTAATATAATTTCGCTATTGGCCGCTATGAGGCGCATCATATTCTATATCTGAAATAATTGTTTAGGGAAAACACAAAAGTTGTGATTATTTTTAAAGGTATTATTTGTTTGAAATAATTAAAACAATATTAACATAAATGAGACCTACGACAAAAGTAAATTATTTATAATAATCTAATAACAATTTATATAAGAATTGGTTTGAAAAAGCGCCACCTAGACATCTAGACATCGAGTTAAGTTAAATAATGTGTTTTCTGCTACTGACATCTTACGGAAAATTATAAAACGTTATGAAACGAACAAATCAAATTAAATTTACTACTTTTTCCACAGTTTTTGTTTATTAAATGTAAACAACAAAACGTAAAAAGAATTTTGCTGGTAGGGTATTTGATGAAACTAGGTCATTTTAATATACAGCTACAACGTAAATTAAAATGCAACTGACATACATATACGTGATCCATCATTGATATTGTAACTTATTTATTTTTAAATTACAAAACGTAAATAATAAAATATACTTATAGAATGAAAAGTAATATCATATAGCAAAATTAAAATAATAGCTTATCGCGTGCTGCCATCTACGTACCATAGAGAATACTGCACCCAGTAGGTCTTGGGTTTTGATACGAGTTATCTGTAGTTTACTGTAAATTGTCAACCATAATGCATTGCGCATAAATGGCCGCCATGTTGCTGCCGTCTGAAAGATGTTCACATCTGTGTGTGTTTACTAATGAATTTTAAGAACTTTAATAGTTAAATTACCGTGTTCGTGAAATTGTGAGTGTACCATGGTTTTATATTACATATGTTATTGTGTTTAAAAGTCTATCAAATGTCTCTGAGACCAACAAACAGTGAAATTTTCTTTAGGTAGTCATTCAAGTCGGACGGCATAATGGCTGACAATCTGATTCAAAAGTCACATAAAACTAGTGAAAAAAACAAGTATAACAACGTTGTTCATCGCACTACAAGTGAATCTCTTCGACTGAACGAGTCAGAGAAGGGAGTGACTCATCCAACAAGTCTTCAATCCGCTCATAACCCAAGGAAAATATCTTCCTTTCAGATCACCAGTGTGACTGTGGGCTCTCGGGTGAGCACTGATGCTGGAGAAGACTCTGCCGACGATCTAGACGAATCTCACACCGATGACATTTCAAGGGTGACCGACATAGAGAATGAAACACCGAGTTACTCGGAGGACACCTTTTCTAAAGACGATGTATTTTACAACGCATCGAGTGCATCGCTAGGTTGTGCGCCCGTGATTCCAACGAGTTCACAATACGGTCTCGCGATAGTGGGCCAGGACCCTAACACCGCCCAGACTGGAGGAGTAGTGCCAAATAGTAATAACACGGAAGTTAATGACATGCATGTCAGTGTAACTAACGCCGGAACCGGCAGCATTATCAACCTTATAGGTAATGCTGCAAAACCCCAAGAAGGTATGAAAGAGATACAGGAACATGTTAGAAATGAAAGATTCAAAGTCGTGAAAATAGAAAGTACGGAACCGTTTCGCCGTGGCAGGTGGATGTGTATGGATTACCTAGATCATACAACAACCCAACAAAATACTCCAATCACATTAAATAATAATATTGATATATCTGAAACTGTAAATTTGCAAGCCCCAGATAGTGGTGTTGTGATAAATGATAGTCAACATGATGATATGTGCAATGACTTATCTTGTAAAGGGCCTAAAGATCAAGTAAGTGTACCAGTGCAGCAAATAGATCATAGTGTTCAGAAACAGTTTCCTATGGCTTCCCCCGGTCAATCATTGACTCAGCCAATAAATATAGTTCAACAACAAATGCCAGTGAATCAATCAGTGTCTGTGCAATCACCGCCTATGGAGATGCCACAACAGATGACTAATCAGAATATACAAACTAATCAACAAGTGGCACAGCAGCATCCCCAGAGTATGACTCATATCACCATGCAGAATACTGCGCAGGGCCATCCTCAGCCGACACAACAACAACAAGTCCAGCAAATTCCTCAGAGCTTCCCCCAGCACCAACTTCAGCAAGTTATTGCTCAATCTCAAAATATGGCTTTGCAACAAATTCCTATGCACCAACAGATGCCACAACAAATGCAACAAATTCCTAATCAACAAATGCAGCAAATCAGTCAACACATCCCACAAGCTCAGATTTCTAACATGCAACTTCAACAGCAAATACCACAGATGCAAGGCATTCCCAATCAAGGCCAAATGCCCCAAGTTACTGCACAACAGCAGCAAATGCAACAAATTCAAATGCAGCCTATGCAGGGGCAACCTAACCCACAAATGCACCAAATGCAACAAGCTCAGATTTCTAATATGGGTCAGACCCACCATATGCAAGGACAACAGCCTATGGGACCTCAACAAGCTCAGTTGCAGCATTTGTCCAATCAAGCCCAAATTCAAGCTTTACAGAATCAACAAATACCAAACCATATTCAGCAAATGCAAATTCCAGCACAGCTTGCTGCACCTAACCAACAGATTTCTCAAATGCAACAACAAATGCATCAAATATCATCACAGCCACAGCAATCGGTTGTCACAGGAATGCATCCGCAAATGCAACAACAAGGAATGGCAGTGCCACAACCACAATACAATCAAGTAAATCAACAGCCAAATACTCAGTCTATGATGAGTGCCAATATGCCATCATCACAACAAACTATGGTACAACAACAACATACCGTACCACAATATCACACTCAACAATCACAAATGAGTCAACAAGGGCAAACATTGCCACAAGAGGTGCTGAATAACATTGTTACATCACAGCAAGGTGCCACTTTACCCTCTAATCTCCAACCAATGGTCACCCAACCACAAGGATCTACACTACCTGCGAATCTCCAAAGCTTAGCTAGTCAGCAGCAAGCTCCAGTTCACACTATGGCGCAACAACAAAATGTGCCTCAAGGAAATATTCAAATGATGACTGCAGCCCCACAAAATATACAAATGACTCTAGAAAATCAACCTAACATGCAGATGCCTGCTTCAGATCCAATATTTATGCAACAAGGTGTCGCTCAACAATTGCCCACCCATATGACCCAACCGCAGAATATAATGCAACAGCAAGTGCCAGGGCAGCAAATGGGAGGAGTACAATATGTTCCTAACCAGCCAGTGCCTCAAGTAACTATGGGTCACCAAAACATTCCAATGTCTATGCAGCAGAGCATGCCAGTTGGAATGGGTGGACCAGTCCACTCAAATGTTGGGCAGGCGCAGACTAACATGGGGCTAACGTATGGGGGTGTTGTGCCTGTGATGTCTCAGAGCAGTGTCGCGCCGGTCGAGACAGTGTCAGGAACTAATTCGCCAGTTGTGTCAATGCCCGCGAGTTCTACAGCATATGTAGCTAGTGCTGCCCAACCGGGGCTTGATAGTCAGGGTTTTGGTAGCCCTGTGAGTGTAGTGTCGCATGCCGTAAGTGGTGCAGTGATGAGCAATGTGAATGTGTGTGAAAGTGGTGCTCCGGATGTTACTTCGGATGGTATGCAGGCAGCTGATGCAGGCGATGGTAAAGAGGATGCCCACACTGCTCCTGCTCCTGAAGATGAAAGGTAAGATTACTTAAGCTATATCATAAAAAAATATTCCAATAATTTTAGTAACAACACTTGTTAGCATCAATTTTACCTTTCCCTTACCCTATATTAAAAATATTTTCTATGCAACAATGTCTATTTTATGTTCTTTTAAACATCTTAAAATTATTAAATAATGTAAAGCAATTAACTATAAATTAGTAGAGGGCAGTATGCTTACATATTACATTACTTTTCAATATCAAAAGTTAAAAAGGTTCAAGACACGCCTCCATAAATCTTAATATTATAAATCCTCTTTTACGCTGATTGAAGTGACATTTAACAGACTTTTACTGCATTTAAGATCCTTACATTCAAAACTTATGGTAAACAATTTTATATTTAATAGTATAAATTATGTCTGTTATCAATGTAAGTTATATAATTGGTAGATATGAAAATAATTGGATATTGATTAATAAAAGAATGTCTCTACTAGTATGTTATAATACTGATCCTATATGATAAATATTCTAATTTTTTTATGTATTATCTTTTTAAAAATACCTAAACTAATGCTAAATAGGTTTACTAAAAATATAGGGTTTGCACTGCAAATGCTCACCTGAAGAGATGTTTTAAATTAATTTTGTAACTCTCCTTTCTTTGGGTTGCCTGGAAGAGAGTTTTCAACAGTAGCTCCTCCTTTTAGACTAAGTTTGTATATATATATATATATATATATATATATATTAAGTGCTACTTTGTTTATCATATATTTTATGTATGCAGTAATAAAATTAAAATAAATAACTTATGATATACAGCAGTGAGGTCTTGTAAGACAGCCCCAGTAGGATTTTCCTGATCACCTAGAAATCAAACTCATTACCCCTTGGCTAAGAGTATTGAATAAACGAATTGGGATAAAATCATTTAGGAAACAGTAATTTCAATCATTTAGATATCGCAACAGCTAGTCTCTAGGCAACAAACCTATTTGCGAAAATAACTCAACCATAGACAATAGTGGTTGTTTTCTTTGCATTCGAATCTGGCTCATGCTGGCGAACGAAATCCGACAGCCCTTTGATGCTGTTTATTTGCGCCTCGTCCTGCAACATAAATAGGTGGTTGACACGCACAGTGCATGGTGCTTGGCGGTATGCGAGTGACTCACGCGCAACGCGTCCAATGCGAACAGACTAAAAAGATTCCATTTACTTTTTCGTCTACTAAGTACATGTCGGCTTTAATTAGTTGGACTGGCTCTTTAGTGAAATGTCATGTCTGGTTTAGATAACCCGCTACGACGGTATAGAACGACGATAAATCTACTACATACCTATCGTTTATGATGTGTAAAGTAATAGGAAAAAATCTAAAAAACATGTGGGTGATCTGGGTACTGACACTGGCAAATATCGTTTTTGCATGTACACGTTTAGGCAAGGTATAAGGACGAACAGATGTTCTGTGAAAACGTTTATGCGTACTTAGAAGAGTAATGATCGCATAAACCATTCATTTCAAAGCACCATTATTGTAAGGGCGTGGGCCACTGCTTCATTAATAGCTTTTCTAAACTCGTACGCATCCTCGTGCTTACTCATCGGTTGTGTGAAACCTGGCCGTTTTAATATTCACTACACGCAATCATTATATGAAAGAATCGAAAGAGGCGCCTGTGCAGCGTCACGGCGCGTCGTTGGTAATCGAGTCGAGATCGGAAGGCCGCGACATATGAGACAGCCCCATTCGCTGTCGATCGAAACATTAGGATTACCAGTGACTCTATGTGTATTTTCATTAATTTCATGGCTCTGTTTTTTAATTGACTCTTTGTCACCGAAATCAAGACACGACAATGGGTCTCTATTTCTACTCCTGTATACCATATAAAATATAGGTACATAATATTCCGTTAATATCTATCAGCTGAACTTGTTTTATAAAAGAACACAGCCTTACAATTCCTATATATAATTCCTTTAATTTCTATATTTACGTAGTGCATAATTGTTCTACTTAGAATTTAGTTTATTACTGTACTACAGAATTGTATGTGATTATTATGCGGCACGCAAACTCCTCCGACGCGAATTCTTTATGTGAATCTCCGCTGTTATTTTAGTATTAATCTGATTTATAACTTGTACATAATCTTGTAATATTCTGGTTTATTGGCTTTACAATTGAGTCTCTGTAAAACAGATTCAAGTTAATCTCTAGGTTCGAGAATAACTTTGTGATTGGGGTGTGTGAACACACACGTGACATCAAGACACAAATTGCTTTAAATATTGTCCTATTTCTGTATGCACAAATATGCAGTTTAATCCGGTTAAAACTGTTAAATGAACATGTAATTTTTTTCTATAACATATTTTAGTTTAGCTCCATGAATCAGAGGTTCCGTTCCGTTGTATGAATAAAAAAAATAAGAAATGTACGAAGTGGAATTTCACACTTACAATTCCTAGAGTTTTTTTATAGCCTATTGTAATCGAACTTTAAAGACATACATTCGCAGAATCGTTACTTGTTTATAAATTACGTTTTATGGAAATATTCGTTTATATCTTATTGACACCATTATGGTGTTCATATCGAAATAGGGTTCGATATTTTGTTTCGCTGATTTAAATAGTCAAGTACGCATGTAGTACATGAGTCTAATAAATATCGTGCACGATTTCATTAGTGTCGACTTAGTCATCTCTATATGCCATTCACTACTGGTTCTGCCTCATTATAGCTAGTCAATTTAGTGAAAATGTCTGAAAAACGTACGGAGAGAATCGGTTGTTTAGTGTTTTTCACGCGAACTAAATTTTTCAACTGTTTTCACTACATTTCAGTCTGTTTATATAGAATAACTCAAGTGATTCTTTTTTGTTTTTACTGTAACAACAATAAATAATATTAAATAGTTTTTAATATTATTTATTGTTGTTTTAAAAAATAACGGTCGTTTGGTTCTATAACATCTGAAAACTTATTGGTATTTTTTTATTATTTTTATATTAAATAGTTGAATACGCTACGACCGAATTACGGCGTTCCTACACAGATTAATATACAATGACCAGTTTCATATTCGGGTTATCTTATATCTATTTAAAGATTTATCTTATGACAATAAGGGCGCTAACGTAATTTATACTATATTAGTATAGTGATGCAAAGTTTGTTGTTAAACAAACTACTAACGATACGTGACGGCGCGGTGCCTAAGCAAGGACGACCGGCGAAATAATTAGTCGCATATCGATAACTCATGTTTTATTGATTTTGTCCGACTCTTTTATAATGAGACAAGATCAGAGAGTTTTGTAATGAATAACTGTTTTAATTTTGTTTTACATTCTTGATAATTATAATCCAGTGTCTCTACTGGTTCTGGGTCTCAGATGGCTATGATTTTTGGGTTTTAGACATGTTTACGACCTTCAGTAGTGAAAACTACGAAGACAATAATTGTTAGATCCCTTTTTACCAACTGTATGACAATATACTCTTTGTATTAGCCGCAAAAATAGATTTTTTAGAAAGTATTTACGCGAACGTTAGGCGTTTAATACGTAGTCAAACTCGTAGAACCATTGAAACCACGATATCAATCATATAAGTAGTTTTATTTTAACTGTATATTTAGATTTCTAGACATTAAAGAACAAGACAGTACCTCAATCCATTGTTCGGATCCGATAACGACCACGTCCTGACTTTTAATACAAACGATAAACTTGAGCTGTCAGTCATACTCATGCGTACAATTTATGAATTACAACCTAAATTACGACGCAATAGATAATCGTGCCCATTCTGCGTTGGTAAAATATTGATTCAGATTATCTTCGAATTTATTGGATTTCGTTATTTTCAATAGCTTCTGTAATGGCTTTGCTAATCGCTATATTTATCGAACGAATAGGATATTTTTTATTCTATCAGTTAATTGGTTGTTTAGACTGTGTGTCCTAACTCAGACATAGCGCTAAGTCTCGTTTCTGAATGTCATTAGATCCAAAATACTTCCTGCTTATACACATTTTGTAAATAAAAGTTTTAAACATACTAATATTTAGCTCTAGTGACGATAGTAATTTCTATCAAAAATACATTAGGCAAATAATAAATATTATAGTTTAATGACCAAATGTGACATTAATATACATAGAAGGAGAGGTGATTAAGTGCCTAACTTAAGAAAGATTCGAATCGTCAACGACCAGGCACTTTCCGTGCGGCTTGATCCCTTGGCGTTGCGTAGAGATGCGGGGTCTATGCATCTTCTACCGCATTTACCATGGAGAGTGTTCAAAGGAGTTGTTCGGACTAATACGTGCAGCTGAGTTTCACTACCGGACATGAAGGCAGAATACGAAATACCATCCGTGTCTCCTCGACGTCCATCGTTCTGCAACTGCGTTTCTGAAGGCAGTTTTTGCCGCGTACTATGTGGAATCAGCTGCCCACTGAAGTATTTACGAACCAATTCGACTTAAGGACCCTAAGTCAAGAAAAGAGCATACCAAGTCTTAAAAGGCCGGCAATGCACTTGCGAGCATTCTGGAAATGTGAGTAAGCGGCGGTATCACTTAACATTAGGTGAGCTTTCTGACCGTGTACCTCCTATTACATTAAAAAAATATATACAGAACGCAGTTGTTATTTTATAAAAAGTAAGGATTTACCATAACTGCCTATTAGGCTCATTACGTTTATAATTTAATATAAAAAATATAAAAGTTATATTTTAATACTAGTGAGACTGGTATTTAAATGCTAATTGGATAAAACGGTTATCTTATCCTAGACATTACTTATTCAAGAACAGTTTCGTGCAAATAATTATCTAGTTTAAACATCGATGAGCTGAAGGATCTCTCGCATTCCAAGAATGATGATCCACGTTACTAATTACTTGGCCTTAAAAAATAAAATATTAAATAAGATGCTTATTGTATATGGAAGTAATGCAAAACATTATTAAGTTAATAATTGTAGGTTTCTAAATTGGTTTCAAATGAT